GGGTGATCTCTTGGACAAATCACCCCTTAGGTCGCCACGATAGGGTCAGCACGCAAAGGGAGGGGCAAGGGGAAACTAGAGGTTCTCCCCGTGGACCGACCCATGACGAGATCATACGCCAGGGCCCATAACACTTTCCCTCTTCTTTTCTAATGCTTTGTTCCCTCTTCTTTCCCTCTTCTGTGGAGATGTTGGGGCTACTTCAAAATCAGAAGATAGATATGAATCTGGAGGATGAATGGAGCTGGAAATGGAATTAAGATGGCTGTTTCTCTGTTAAGTCATTGGCCCTAAAGCTGAACAATTCAGGTTAGTCGGATTTTCCTGCAGATCAAACTTGGAATCCAATTAGCCCATCCAAGGCTAACTTTCTTGTCTGGACAATAGCTCTTGATAAATGTTTGACTAGAGCAAACCTAGAGAGTCATGGCATTCAGATTCTGGACCCCTCCTGTGGTTTGTGTGGTTCTCTTTCAAAAACTACAGATCACTTGTGCATTCACTGCCCGACTTCCTCCATGGTATGGGGACATTTCTTGAAAGCTCTGGGTATTAGCTGGGTAATGCAGAGATCAGTCAAGGATCTTCTGTGCTGTTGGAGAGTTGAAGGCCTCAACAAGAAAGAAAAATTAGCGTGGAAGACCACTCCTGCTGCTGTTTTGTGGTCCATTTGGGTTGAGAGAAATAATAGAATTTTCTGTAGTAGAGTTAAAAGTCCTGAAGAGTTAGTGCAGAGAGCTGTGAGCAAGTTGATCTCTTGGGTGTCGGTTACCAAGGAGTTTAAGCGTCAGAATTTGGCTCAATTGTTTTGTTCTTAGTCTTGGATGAGTCTGTAATCTGATTTGCGCTCAGGCAGTCTTTTTGGCCTGGGTTTTGTTGTAATGTTCTCCTCTTCTGTCTGAATAAATTTACTTTATCTTTTCAAAAAAAAAATTATTTTAAATTTTCATTTGAATACATTTTAGATGTTATGTTTATGTATTTTAATTTTAGAGAATTGCTTTTTTAAAACATTTATCTTAAATTTTAAGTTTATATTTTTAATTAATGTTATGTTTAATATTTTTATTTTTTAACTTTTTGCTTCTTTTTTTGCATTTATTGATTGTTTTGGCATTATTTTTTTGTATTTTGGTGCCTTGCTTTGAAAAGGTGGCTGGATCTGACCAAAATTGTCCAAAATTCTTTTGATTGTTTGCTTCTCCAAAATTGTCCAGCTCTTGAGCTGCCAGGAGTTAATTTGCATTCATTGGGTTTGTTTGTGTTACACAGATCTTCATGAAGATTAATTTGTATGGTGCTTTATTTTTCAATTCATTGCTTACATTTGTTTTGGTAAGAATTCATTTGAAGTTATCCTAAACTATAGATGGATGGGAATGACAAACTCGATGAAGAAGTATATCATCAAATGGTGGCTGCTGCTGTAACAGTTATGGCAGCTGGTGTTGCAGTTATAGCTGCAGTTAACGTTTTCACATCAAAACACTACAAAAAGAGGAGATGCCTCACAGATGAACTTGGGAAGAAAATTGACAAGCTAGCAAAGCAGGTGGGAGAGGTGGCTGAGGCGGCTGAGGCACTGAAGAACACCCGTTACCAAGACTACACTACTGTACTTTATGAAGAAGTAATGAAGTCTGAAGGCTTTGATGAGTCATTCCTTGGATCGGCCTTTGATTTCTTGATTGACAATGATAGAACTGCAACGTCCTTCCTTGCGAAGAGTCCTAAGCTGCGGAAACAGTGGTTGGTAGACTTCCATGCCAAGATGGATGGCAATGGTAGTTTTTAGGTTTGCCTTGCTTGGACTGCTTTTTGCTTTTGCCATGTATGGGTTTGAACAACTGATATTATCTTTTCCCTTCATTTTAATTTTTATCTTGTTATTTTGACTAGTATGATGTTTTATTGCAAAGTTTTATGATGGATAAGCAGTCCCACATTCATTATAATAGTATACTGGAGCTTCTCTCCTTAGCTTTTGTTTAGATCTTCACTTCAGTTGTGTAACTTCTCTAGCTTTCTCTACGATCTCCCTAGCTGGTTATGATGGTCAAAATTACGATAAATTCGAATCTAAGGGTTAGAATTAAGGATCAAGGGAAGAGGTATGGTTACATAGGGTCTAGGGGGCTTTGGATCAAGTTCCAAAAATAAGTCCAGGTTCGTAGCGTGAATCCTAGGGATTGAACTAGATGCATTAAAAGATGTAAAACGAAACCCCCAGAATTGGAAACTTCAAAAAAATAAAAAATTGAAGTGATTTACTCCTTTAGGCTGTGTTTGGTTTGATAGAAAATATCTCCCTCAGGCCTCAACTTTCTCAATGTTTCTGTTATTTTCTATCAAACTATACACAGGTAGCATTAGAGAAATATAAGGTGCTAGAGTTTTAACTAGAGCACATCACAGTCCTTTATATGAACTTGTGGCTTGAAAATGCGTAGGACAGCCTTCTTGAATCGAGTTAGAAGCTAGCCAATATCCTGAAAATTGGCTAAACACAGGTATAAATAAATTTTGAAAATGGGTACTTTCAAATTTTCATCCCCGACTCCAGGGTTCCTTTTGGACAAGTCTTGCCGGCCTGCAATATATTTATAGATAAATAATATATTTTATTTTATGTATATTGTATATATCATCATCTTCATCGTCATCATCCAAGCCTTATCCCAATTATGTGGGGTTGGCTACATGTTGCCATTGTCTTGTTTGACGCCATATCCATCAAAAATCATACTACATTGACACCATGTCTTTGGTCTACCCTTTGCCTTTCTGGCTCTAGTCCAACAGATCACTATGATCTCCCTTGTGCTTCAAAAACAAAATGACTGGGTGCTCCCGAGCGCAGTGAGCATAGCACAAGCAAGTGGAAATCTATGATGCCGAAAAGATATGATATTGAAAGAGCTTTGACCAATTGAAATCTCTCTGAAGTTCGATAAATATCACCTGATTGGCGACCATTTTTATGATACTGGTGGTTTTCTAGGTATTATGAATTATATTATTGGGGTAAGGGCTGAGGATAGAGAAGGGTGCATGTGATATATTGATTGGTTGTAAGTGTTTCTGATATAGTACTCAAACCCATTGTATATATATATAAATTATAAATACTAAATATAATGCATTTAATGGTATAGGGCAACCTCCTAAAGCCCGGCCTGGGCCCATATTAACCTGGGCATGTGCCTATATTTCAGGCCCAGAGACTGAGCAAGGATGGGCCCAGGCTTTAACCCTTATCATAGGTGCTAAGCGCGGCCTGGCCTGGCCCATGATGTTCCTTATCCCTTAGTTACTTCAACCTTAATTTCATGGCTATGTTTTAAACCCTAATTATGCCCAATTATCAGATTAAGCCCTTCATTATAGGTTTTTCCTAAATAAAAAATTTGAAAGTTCTTACAGAGAGGCTGGGGCAGGCTTGGGACTTTTTCCAATTAGGAAGGGAACCTTTTCCCATATATACAAAGGGGTAAGAATCATCATGTGACAACTTGTTTTGAGCCCCTAAAATATCTCCATATTCCTCCAGCTTACTTCATCCTTAAAATTTAGTGATATATGGGTCCTAGTTAATTAATGGTTTCATAGTAAGAATGAGCCAACCAGCTGGTTAACCAGTAAAACCATGACCAAGTGAGGATTCTGTTTTTTTGTCCGCTCCGAGCCTGACAATGTAGATTTAGACCATCCATGGTTTTAAGTATTGGTGTACATTGATTTTTCAGGCTAGCATAGTTATAGGTGGAATGACTAATCATAGCTGTACCCATCTAAAGAGGAAAGAGCCGTTGTTCTCCTCTCCCTTCTTACCATGTCAATATTTACTCTCTAATTCTCTAATAAATTCATTCTTCGATTTCTCTCTACCCTCACCATTAAATCTCTCTTTTCCTTTTAATCTCTTTTGGTTTTATCTAATAATAAAGTAGGGGTGTTAATTAGATTGATTAGGTTAGGTCAAGGGACAACCCTAAATATGGACCCTAGATTAGACCCAAACTAGTGTCAAAACCCAAATTTGCCCACCTAGTAAATGAGGTGAACCAATCTTCTTTTTATATTAAAGTTTAAAGAAATCATTGCTCCTTTCCATGGGTTATCAGTTTTTTTTCTCTTTTTTGTTATTAATATATTTGTTTCATTGAATGTTTCAGTTCAATAATTAAATGCAGTAAGAAAGCACTTAACATGAGCCTTTGTTTATCTTTGTTAGTTCCATTTTGAAATTGTTTATTAATTAGGTTACTGATCTCATGCTAAGCACATATTTTGGCTTTATAGAGCTACACAACAGTGGTAGCWCTGAAGGGATGAGAGATCCAGCCTATGGACGCCCAAAAGATTGCGGAATAAGGGGCGAATTTCAAAAAATTTTTC